TCAATTCCCTGAACAAAACACCAAGCACCTACAAACGTTCAGTCCAAACAGGGACGAGCAGTAATACTCCTTTAGAATTCCTTTAGCTTGAAAGAGATCTGACAGGCACTCTTCTCTGTCTTGCTCCGTATCTGACCAACCACCAATTCCTGTCGGTTCATCTTCAGATTGATCCATTGCCTTCTCTCTAGTTTTCTGAATATCCTAGTTAAGGACAGTATTTGTGGAGACAAAGTGGGACTGCTTAGGAGTTCTCTCTAGATTGCATCATAGAGAGCTCACTGGGCAGAACAAAGCATCAGTACTGTAAACTCAGCTTTCCATGCCGCGATGGTTACCTCTTAGCCAGGAAGAACTGATGTCTAATAGTGAGCGAAGGTCCTGGAATTTTTTTTATTTAATTGTATTTTATTAATTACACTTTATTCACTTTGTATCCCCCCATAAGCCCCTCCCTCTCCCCTCCCAGTCCCACCTTCCTTCCCCCTTCTTCACCCATGCCCTTCCCCAAGTCCACTGATTACAGAGGTCCTCCTCTCCTTCCTTCTGATCTTAGTCTATCAGATCACATCAGGAGTGGCTGCATTGTCATCTTCTGTGACCTGGTAAGGCTGCTCCCCCCTCAGCGGGAGGTGATCAGAAAGCAGGCCAATCAGATTATGTCAGAGGCAGTCCCTCTTCCCATTACTATGGAACCCACCTGGACACTGAACTGTCATGGGCTACATATGTGCAGGGGTTCTAGGTTATATCCATGCCTGGTACTTGGTTGGAGTATGAGTCTCTGGGAAGACCCCTGTGTTCAAATTTTCTGGTTCTGTTGCTCTCCTTGTGGAGTTTCTGTCCTCTCCAGATCTTACTATTTCCCACTTCTTACATAAGATTCCATGCACTCTGCCCAACAGTTGGCCATAAGTCTCAGTGTCTGCTTTGATAGTCTGCAGGGCAGAGCCTTTCAGAGGCCCTCTGTGGCAGGTTCCTAACTTGTTCCCTGTTTTCTTCTTCTTCTGATGTCCATCATCTTGGCCTTTTGGGATGGGGACTGAGCATTTTAGTCAGGGTCCTCTCTCTTGATTAGTTTCTTTAGATATACAGATTGGAATTTTAAATAATCCTGAAAATAGCTAACACTAAATCAGACTGCTTGACACCGAAGTATTTTTTAATCCCTAGTTCTAGGTCCACTCCTACACTCTCCCTACAAAGACACAGGGTGTTTGTTTTTAGAACACTGCGGCTCACTGAGTGTAGGGTATGTCACCCATGTGCGCAATGCTAGTGGCCTCAGCTAGCCTGCCACCTGTGACTTCAGATAGCAGCAAATGATGTCATTGTGTTCACCTCTCTCTCTCTCTCTCTCTCTCTCTCTCTCACTCACTCTGGCCCCCAGGCCTTCATTGCTCCTTCAAACTATAGAGCAAAATAAGCCCTGCCTTGCTTAAGTCACTTCTTTTCATGTATTTTTGTCATGAATCAAGATCTAACACATTGTCTATTATACAGAGCAGGTCGATCACCTTCTACCTGAAATGTCTCTCTATAGATTAAGGTCCAAAAGTATATGATTCTGATCATCATAATTCCTTGTACATAAAACGCGCGCACACACACACACAGACAGACACTACCCATCCTTCCTACCACTCTAAAAACACAATCCTGGCCTTTGCCAGGAATAGTCCTTTCTATATTGCCACCATGTAATACAAACTGGTACAGAGCACAAGGACAGCCTCTGCTTTGCCTGATCTTCTCCGGGTGGCTCGGCCTCTGCATGCTTTTTCCTCATAAGACAACTGTATTACAATCCTCCTCCAGACTGAATTCAAGGATTGCTCTTTACTGAGCTCTGTTGCCCTTCACCTAGCAAGCAACCTTGCATCCAGTGTGCACTGTCAATATACCCACTAAAAGAGATAAAACAAAAGCATAAATAAGTAATATCATAAATAATACAGAAAAATATATAAGTAAATAGCATCAGACCTTGATTACCTTGTTTGCTTTATGCCTTTAAGTATATTACTATTTTTGTTTAAAAGGGTTTCAAAAACAGTGAATCTGATAATCTGTCTTCTACCCTGTAGGCTATTGTACATAAATGCCAAAAACCAAACTACAATGTGCAGTGCACTATCTATTCTGAAAAAATCATCTGCTGCTCAGTGTTATCCCTCAAAGTTCACATTCCTTAAAGAGCATCTCAAACAAGACTATGATGCTTCATATGATACCAAACATCAAATTAATATTAATGGTAATAGCAATAATAATTTCCTTTTAAGTAATTGATTGATGTGGAGAAAAAGCCAAACCAGCTGACATGCCGTCAGAATTCTATATTTTTCATCAGAAAACCAATTCGCCACCAATGACAAATAACAATAGAGCCACTAAAACTACCTGTCATGTGTCTAATGAAGACAGATTCTCTGGCTACCACATATAATATGTAATATCCAAAAGCGCTGCTATAATTCATAGCTAATTAGTGCCTGGCCTTTATGAGAGGTGTCATGGCCCTAAGTCTCTTTTCTGATCTTCTACAACCTCACAAGATCCGACAACCCTGCGTAGATCACAACAACTCAATTAGCACCCATCCCAACCTCGGGCCTCTGCTTCCCAGAGTTGCCATAGCCTCAATAAATCATGCTGCCTCCTGAAGCTCTTCTCTGACAGCTGCAAGCCATTGATGCCCAAGGAATAAAGACAATACTTGTAAAGAAAAGTCATGCGGGAAAGACAGCAATAGAAAAGGGATATTGTTTGCCTTCCTTTAATGGCACAGCAGTCAGCAAAATTGAAGACCATCAATTCTGACTGATTAAGAAGACAACTGCACCAAGAAATAAATCTATGAGTGATACATCCGATGCTCTTAGTGATAATCAGCCATCAGCAAATGGATTGTTTGTTTGTCTTATGTAGATCTATTGAAGCCCTCCTCCTTTTTTGTCCCACTGCACAGCCTTCCCTCTGACTGATAAGAGAATTTCCCTTTCAGCAAAACATAATCCGGTGCATTTACTTTATCCCGTGTGAATACACAGCAATCAGATAATTTGTTTGAAAGACTCTAAATTGTTTGACTTTGTTGAAAAAGAATTTATAATGATTTGCTAGTCTCCAAACTACTTCTACAGCACTTCCTAAGTCCATAAGCAAACTCTGGAGTATTCCCAGCTCACAGCAGCCAATATCCTTGTAATTCTCTTCTAAGCCTGTAAAGCTGTATTGTCCCATAATATTCATTGTAGAGAATGTTCTGAATAGTCACTCTAGCCCCAGCATTATTCAAAGATATGTATGAGTCAGTGACTCTACTTTCAGATTTCTTTCCCCATGGAGATATTCTTCTATATTTTATGCTAATCTGAAACATTTAATCTAGCTTTTGATTAACAACTACAAGCAAATTGAGTATATAAATAATAAGAAAGGCAAATAAACAAATATGGATGAATTTAAACAAGGAATACTCTTATGGCTCTTTTTATTAAGCATCTAGATTTCAAAAATATTTGATTTTTTTTCCTCCCATAAAAATAATATTCTCACGGAAATATTAAAAAATATCTACAAAGATTCCCAGTGCATCATTCTTTATAATAGAAAAATAATTGAAAATAACACCAACGTATAAAATACAAACTACATCAAACAAAACGATAAATCCCCTCATACAAATGAAATGTTGTGTAGCTTCTAAAATAGTAGTATAGAATAAATATTAAAGGGCATGAAGAAACATTCACAAGACACTGCAATCCAGAGAGAAGAGAAATGAAGACTGGCTTCACATCCTATACATGTAATTATGTGTGCCCAAATGTTTATGTGTACACAAATGTTTGTGTTCTAAATATAGGTGTACTTAGGTGTATATCTCATTGATTACAAGATAGTCTCTGTTTTATTTTTGTGTACAGAAGTGTGCATATATAAATACATTTACCTAAATAAATATAGGTCAATTATAGAAAAAGGCAAATAGAAAGAGTTTTTAGTATTAAAAATATATCTCCAATTAGTGACATTCTGGACTATTTTTTTTAAACGTGCTGTTTATATAGATCTGTTTCATAAAAAAAGCTACTGTATAAAATATTGACTTCAATCACATGGATTTAAACATGTGTATACTAGTATGAAGGCACAACTTTCTAGGCTATCTTTTATGAGTGACCCACCACGATAACAAATAATGTTATTATTACTGTATGTGTTAGCAATATCTCAAAAACCAGGGATGATTATACTTAAGTACATCTCAAGAGTGAAAATCAGAACAGTATTTTTATCCTCTTATCCATGGATCTGGGCAGCAAGGGTATTGGGTCCATCTGATTCTACCATATCAATTCAATGCCAGAATCATCAGGCTCGGAAGTACAGACCCAATATAAAAAACGGCATCACTGCCCTTGATTCTTCCTAGTGCCAACCCATCTTCTCAACCGTTGGCACCACAGGTTGTGGAAGGATAAATGGTGTCAATTACTCACCACTTGTTTAGGGTTCCTGTCCAAACTCCTAAAAGATGGCCTTAGTGTGGCCTTATGAAGGTAATCACAACTTCTAGTGAGCCAAGAAGACATCATGAAATGTCTTAGATAAAGACAAGTAAATACATAGCAGGAAGAAGAGGAGCAGGAGGAAGGAGAAGAGAGCAATCAGTTTTGATAATAGTGCAATTTTTGCTTCTTCTTAATCATTTCTCCAAAAGGATATTTAGGTAAGGCAAAACCCAACCCCATGGTTCCTAAGCTTTTCATTTTATATCTATGGTTCATATATTGGGAACTGTTTGCAGAAACTTCTAGCCATAGGTGAATTTTGTCTAATTTTGATGTTACTCCTGAGTAGGTTTAATTTGGTGAAAGTGTGAATAAAACAAATCAGGAAAATTTAACATTAGCATACTCAGGCACACATAGCAAGTTCATGACTGCAAACTTTCAAATCCACACTCCACTCACACCGAGCAAAACCCGCACCTGAGAGGGAGAAGTCTCCCTTCTGGCTTTCACTCTCTCTGATGAGGAAGGCGCCCGTCTGGTTTTCTGAATACAGTAGTTGCTTTTCTGCATCTGCTCTTTTGATTGCTCCAAAGAACCACCTAAAAAGGAGAGAGATGTAAACCTCAATTAACCAATCAGAGTTTGTTTGAAAAAGAACAAGAAGAGAACATTCCAACATCAGAAACATTTGATATTCTTCGGTGGAAGTCATCACACATATAAATGATAGCTTTTGGTACTTGAGAGGATTTTTCAGGATGTCAGTACCCTACTCCAGGATCCCTAAAATGAAAGTACAAAACAGAACTCTGATTGATGTTTGCTCCACACCCTTCCTCACCATTAATTCTTTCTGAGATCTTCTGCTTCTGTAAGCATGCCACAAAAGTCTGCATGCTACACTCACCATCAATCTTTTCACCACCTTTAACGTGAGAACAATTGAAATATGCTTTCTCCATTCATTAATTCTGGGTTTTTTCCTACCTCCATCACTACCAAAGCCAATGATAATATGAAATTATTTCATATGCTCATGAGAAGTTTATTAACATAAGGAAAACCTTGATCAGTGAGGAGACTATTAAAATAAAAGTTCTTCTGCCTGGCAATAAGTTATCTGTGTTACAGCCATCTCTGCCTTTGCTCCCGGGGCCATATACACACATTATTATTACAGAAATATAAGTCAGATACTGAACACACGAGCTAGTGAGTATGATCAAACCAAGAATTACAGGTCTTCAGTGTCACTGTCGGTCTAATTCTAAACACAATTGTAAAACTTCAAACTCAAAGAAGCAAATTAGTGCTAAGGATGAATGATTCAGTAAATGATATTGGTACCATAAGAAATAGGTAACATATGTCCTGCCTCCTGAATAAACAATAATGTCTCAAAGAGCGTTAATATAAAAGGTGAAATTTAAAATTTTCTGAAGATACTGAGCCAAAAAAACAACCAAATAACAATAAAGATGAGCAACACTAATGGGGAAAAAACTAACAATATTTTGAATATTTATTATAATATACCTTAAACTTCAATTCCAAAAAAGTATTATAAAATAAAATTAAAACACAAGCCACAGACCTTTGAAAGATATTTTTCAAAGTATATAACCAAAATATGCTTGGTATTGAAATTGTACTGTCGGGGGGGGGGAGGGTCACTAGTCAATAAAACAGAAAAAAAAATGGCAAAGGCTATAAGTGGTCAACTCACAGAAATAGGAAGCTCAAGAGACTAAAAAAATAAGCACCTTGGCCAGTGCCTATGCCTTAAGTAGGTGTTACGTATAAAATAACAATAAAATGTAAATTCATACTTTACAACTGGACAACTTAAAGTCCTCTTCTTTTCGGGTGTTGGGGAAGATGTCAAACAACATTCATGCAATTCTAGTGGCGATAAAATTTGATATGACCCATTAAGAGACCAATCTGGAACCAGTTGGTAGAGCTGGATATTGGCATGCCACTCGGATTCACTTCCTGACCCTGTATTTTATGTGCTCAAGGATTTATGCACCAAGAAAATTCACTGAAGAGTTTTAGCATTGGCACACAGAAAGCAAGAGCAGAGAGTATTGTTCAGTGGTAGAACGTGTTCTTAGCATGTTGTAGGGCCTAGATTGGATACTCAGCACCATTTAAAAAAAAGGAGAAACAAAGTATTTTTCTTTAAAGACAGAGCCTAACTATTCATTATAGGGAATAAACAGTTACAGGAATTAAGTGGAATTTTACATAGAGGTTAAACAAATAACTCGTAAGGGCACAAAAGGTGGTTGAATAATGGTTCATACTATTGTGGTATCATCTGTATAAAACATAATCAAGCACATTTTCAAAAACTGTATAAATTTTTATAAATATGCACATGCTGATTGAAAATGAATAGTTAAAATAGCCAAGCGTTTCCAGAAATGGGTAAAAGAAAAAAAAAAGTCTCCATGTATTTCCAGCAAAGAAGCAACACAGAAGCAACAAAGCAAAGAAGCTTTGTGCATTTTCCTGATTCAAGGGGCATTGATCATGCATCAATTTCTCTAGCAAGTTACATTTTTAAAAATTATGGTATCACCTATATTTTATTCTCCTGTATAAATACTCCATTGCATAAGTTTTATGTGCATACATTACATTTCTGTTTAGGATAACTGTCTATGAATGATGCATTTCTTCTGCCCAAGATACAGACTAACAAGCAGTCTGTGTAAACCCAATGATTAAATATAAGACAATCTTCATTTGTAGAGAAATTATTTACTAATTTTCAGAACTTCTGCCTCAGCAATTCTGGACTTTTCCTGCAAAGATACAATTTAACTGATTATGTCATACTTAGAAGCTTACTTGGCAATAGTCCCACCAGGAAGGAAAGAATATAAACAAAAAACTATTTTCTGCTTGCCGTTGCATCATAGTGCCATCCTTCATACTCAAAGATGACACACCTGCTATGGATTGTGATCTTTAGAGCATGTGATATTGTTGAACCTAACGGGAAACAATAATTCATCTGCCCTTTGCACCTGCAGAAACTCTTCCTTAATTTGAGGTTGAAGCTCCTGCCAGGACTGTTGCAGTCATCAGCTTTGACTTCTAGAGACCTCGTTGGCACTATTCTGGAAGAACACACACACTTCAGGCCTGGCTGGCCACCAAAGCTTTTCAACTGTACCCTAAATTGCTGTTCTTCTGGGCAGTAAATGAACAGTGAAGGCACAGAAGGAATCTAAACATCACAGGAGATGTGAAGTACCACAGAGAGGATGGTCCTTAGAATGTTGTCTCTTAGCCAAGAATATCAGCTTTGCATGGAACCATTAAAACAAGACTTCTCGGGCCTCACTGCAGACCTGCTTAGCAGACACTCCAGGCCTGTGGTCCAGAAATCAGGAGCTTAAGGAACCTTCCAGCTGAACTTGATACACACTAAAATCTGAGCACTGTTTACATGCAGAAAGTCAAGAAATCAGAACTCTATACAAGATAGCTGAAAATAACTCAGAGTTTGACACTTACCTGTAAAAAAGAAGTTATCTGGTAAAAGGACACCACATACATACAAACACACATGCTTCATTGAAATTTAATGAAACTGATGTTTCTATTATATCATACCATGACATACAATAACCAAAAGGAGAAACCTATAATAACTTGAACACTAGGAAAAAGAAATGTTTCCTTGAGATGAAAATAGAGAAAATAAATGCTCACTGTGGAAGTAAGACATATCAAACCAAAGCCTGAAATGTGTTTTGCAAATAATTGTCAGGTGTCTATCATGGAAATATCTGGAGCCCACTGTTGGATTAAAACACTAAACTACAAAGAGATAGAAATGCTACGTTTGTGCATATTTTAAAACCTACATGTGGATACATGTATACAGATGTGTATGCATCTCTAAAGTTAGTTAGAGGTGATACAAATAATGACAGAGGACCTTCAGTCTTTATCCTTCTCTGCAGTGTGAAGGTTTGGAATAAAATGTAATTGCAGAACAATTTAACATCTACTTAAATATAGATGATTAAAAGAAGTCAGTGGAAAACGTGCTACAAAAAATTTATACATTACCAGGTCAAGATTCAAATCGTTGACAATCAAAACTGATAGAGACTAGAAAAATGCCAGTGGAACCACAAAGAGGGAATTATGGATGAGCAGACAAACAGACGGAAGATGCAAACCAGGAATAATTCCAGGGATGTCTCAGAATCATGGTCAGGCACTTAAGAATGATATCATAACAGTGGGAAAATCATTTAACCCCTCATGCCTCAGCTCCATTGTTTCTGAGTACAAATCATAGCAATGACCTTGCATTTGTGAGATTTAAAAAAAAAAAATCACAATTCTAAGAGCTCATTGTCCAGGCATGGCCATGCTCGGTACCTCTCTGAGAACTAAATAAAGACTGACATTACATATTTGCTTTGAATACTCTGAATCTGAAGCCGTGACAGGACCTAGGCTAATCTATGAGTGTGATCTCTAATTGTCCCGAATGACCCTTCTTTCACGTCATTCTTGATAGATGCCATCTTATTCATTCAAAAAGACTAAAGGAATCTGCGTTATGATTAGCAAGTGGTTGTTCATGTAAAGAAAAGAGACACAATTAAGAAAAACGAAGGGGCTGGAGAAATGTCTCAGTGGATAAGAGTTCTTGTTGTACAAGCATGAGGACCTGAGTTCAAGTCTCTACCACCTGCATAAAAATCTAGGTGTGAGAGTGCCACAGAGAGCAGGGACAGGGCAAGCTCTAGGATTTGCTGGCTGCCAGCCTACTTCCGGTTTCAGTGAGAAGCACTATCTTAAGGAACAGACCAGTTTGCACACCCACACATATTAGTGCATACAACACACACCTGCACAAAACCAACACACACACCAAAAAAGCAGCATTAAAAAATATCACGTGTAAATACAACAAATAGTATCACAACTCAAAACTATCACTATCAATAAAACATGATGCCACTATGAAGTAAAAAAGCGAGTAGACATATTACCTTCACTAAAACTTCATTATCTCATGTACTAGAGTCTGAACTGAACTGCATGCGACATCAACTGGTAAAAAGTAGGTATCTAGGAGTGCTACTGATTTTTTTGAGTTAATTTTATATCCGGCCACTTTGCTGAAGGTGTTTATCAGCTGTAGGAGTTCCCTGGTAGAGTTTTTGGGGTCACTCATATATACTATCATATCATCTGCAAATAGTGATAATTTGACTTCTTCCTTTCCCATCTGTATCCCCTTGATCTCCTTCGACTGTCTTATTGCTCTAGCAAGGACTTCCAGCACTATGTTGAAGAGATATGGAGACAGTGGGCAGCCTTGTCTTGTCCCTGATTTCAGTGGGATTGCTTTAAGTTTCTCTCCGTTCAGTTTGATGTTGGCTATAGGCTTGCTGTATATCGCCTTTACTATGTTTAGATATGTGCAACACCTTGAAACCTGCCACAGAGGGCCTCTGAAAGCTTCTGCAGTATAGACTGTCAAAGCAGATGCTGAGCCTGATGGCCAACTGATGGGCAGAGTGAATGGAATTTTATGTAAGAAGTGGGAAATAGTAAG